TACTCCTGATCAGCAAAAGTCGACAGCCAGCCCATGGTTATCTCCTCAGCATTAGCCTGGGCGTGCTCCGCTACCTACCGCCGAAAATCTACCGACTCCTTGTACGTGGTCAAGGCTACCTCACAAGCAGTTTACAACTCCACCATTAGCTGTTCATACTTTCTTTGCTCCGCTTTCAAAGTCGAGGCCACTTTCCCAAGCTTGAGGTTCATCTCGTCGATTTGCCAAGAATGGTTGTCATAGATGGCATGGAAATCCTTCAACTCGATTATCATGACCTTTTGACATTGACGAAGGGCGAGTTGACACATGAGAGCCTGCAAGACAGGTACACAAATCAGCCTAAGTAAAAAGGCGTAAGATGTTGGGTGAAGTGTAGACGGAGTGTACCTAGTAGGTGCAACGAGCGACTCCCTCCAGCAGCAGGTCGGCGTCAACTCCCTCAATGTACTCCAAGTCCTTGGGGAAGACAACTGTAACACCCCCAATTTTCAACATAATTTAATATCATTAAAGCTTACGAAATAAACACAAAACTATCATTAATACCCAAAACAGAGCGGAAGCTAAACATAAGTGTTGGGGTGCTATGCCACATCTAAGCTTGAGAACCTAGATGCACAGGCTACAACTAACTAAACAAATCATAAACCATAGTCATTATCCAAATACAAGCATGGCTCACAGGCCGTCTACTAAGCTAGGAAGCGCAACTACTTTTAGCACGCTCTCGGCCAACTAATCAGTACTTGAAAAACATGCGGTATCACAACCGTTAGCGAATAATGCTAAGCAACCCACTCCCACGCGTTGAGTACAATACATATAGATATAAGAAACCATTTTGAGACTTGGGAATACATAGCTATAGTCCTAAATGACTCTAGCTTCAAAACCAGGAATAAGACTCAAGACACATCAGCAAACTGACACAACAAGACACATACAGACATAAGCATGCAAACTATGACCACAAGACAAGACAACAATCAGACTCAACAATGACAAATAACAACGACAAACATGTCCATGTTCCAACCTTATACCAAGTTCCAACCTTTACGCGTCTCCAACCTTATATCAGTTCCAACTTGTACCTCCAGGCCACCCTACACACCACATCCTTATCCCTTCGGAGCACCGCATGCTCCCCGCCTACATGACCTCCTACATAACCACCGATCTCTTAGCATCCGCGATACCATTAAATCACACACCAGTACCGCAGTACCATCACACACAAGCACGCACAGTGCACACCAATCATATATTTTCCGCCAAGCTCATATCTTTTCTCATCATGGACAACAACACAACAAGCAAGACTCGATAACGACTTCATAAGGGGATAATCAGGGGAAGGGCACATCATGCATATTGACTCTCAACAACAAGACCACAAGACACCTAAAGACAAACATAGATCATATTCTGACACCACACGATACAAGCTAGTATGGGCCACATGCAAAGACACGACTCATGATTCACATTACGGTACCTAAGACATCGCACTAGACTCATAAACATCAAACGGGGTACAACGGGGCATGGGGAATGACCAACGAAGACCCACGACATCACCCACCGCCCGTCGGCGGGCTGCCCTGTTCCAGTGGGCAGTCCGGCGGGTGGTCGTCCACCCGCCGGCCACCCACTAGAACAGTGGCCGGTCCCGGCGGGTGGTCCGGTGGGGGTTCGTCCCCCCACCGACTACTTGCTGGAACAATGTTTCTTGACATCCCATCTCGGGAATTCCCCAATTTTACCCAAAATCAAGTCCAAACACGCCCAAACACATATCAACAACAATAGGGACTTGAACACATAGAATAAGCTAAGAAACAACACAATTTGGACCCTAAACACCAACAGTTCAAGAGCATCAAGAACCTCAAGAACCCATCATATAAAACCCTAAAGGCAAGCTTTAAACATAATTAAATACAAGAATATGCAAACCACCACACAAGATCATCAAGAACATCAAGAATAACAAGAATCCACATCATAATCCTAAAGATAAACTCTAACAAGGGATAAATGCCACATCGCACATACAATCATTCAAAGGAGCCAATTAATAAAAGATAGCAAGGAAAATAGGTTTTGTAAGACATGGGTTACCTCGTAGCTTTAATTAATCTTCTTACGACTTCTAGGATCTTTCCTCAAGGTCTTCTTCCTATTAGTCAGGCTTGGTGACGGGGAATTCTTTGTCTGAATTCTGGGAGGGGATTTTCGAGTAATGGAGAGGGAAGGTTCTAAAGGCTTTCTAAATCCTTTTATATAGGTTTAGGACTCCTAATTAGAATCTGATTAATACTGGGCCCAACTTCTTCATCCTAACGGGCTTTAAGGCTTTAACATAGACAAGGGTCCACGGTTTCACACCAATTAATTAAGGGACTCTGTCTACTTAAATTCCTTCTTAATTATTCTTTAACGGAATTAATTGAATAATTAATCCGAGTTTAAAGGGCGCAACACGGGGTGTTACAACAACTTTCTCGAGCCATTCATTCACCAAGAAGCTCCCCATGTGAATGGTCGCAGTTTCGTTTGCCTTTGGGCCGACCACTATTCTCTTGGCAGCAGGCACCTTGATATGGGTCTCTGCTGGCCGCTTGGTCCCCGACGAGCATGGTTCTTATGTAGTCGCAAACGGGGAAGCTGACTCCTTCCGCCTGTTATCTGCGGTTGACCAGATTGCGATAGTCGGCGACACACCGATGACCATTGTGGTCGCACTATGTGCAACTTGTGGGGGGATGGATTCGGCGGATGAGGCTACGCCCTTGCCTTTGTCAACGGCGGTTAGGTGCGCGCGACAATCAACCATTGATTTAGAAAAAGATTCCTCGACGAGCTGCTCATTGTCCAAGACAAGGTCAATAGTTCTCGCAGTAGAGGCACGAAGAATGACTAGCGCTCCATCGTCGTCCTGTTGGTCCTCGTCTGAATCCTTTGTGGACTCCTCTATATCGCTTTCTTTGCAAAATGCATAGGAGTATGAGTATCACGGAAATAAGTAGACAGTTAGGAGTTCGGAAGAAAAGTAGACTTGTGCTGGCTGTGCCGACAGGAAGAATGTCCTTCTGCATAGCCCGCAGTCGCAACCAGTGTTTGGCTGAGATTAGGTCACCCTAAACGATCTGCTTGACTAGATCCACTAGGTCATCTAGGCAGGGTGGTTTTCTCTCAAGGCGATAGTAAGATGACTACCATGTAGTGGGGAGGTCGATGTCAGCATGAGGAGCATCCGGGCGGACAAAGAGGAACTCCTCCTTCCAGCCCTTGTGGGAGGATTCCAGTTTGTCAAAGAATTTACGACTTTCCCTAGCAAGAATCTGTACATAGCTCGGGGTGGCGGATCCAACGGCATTCAGCCGGAACAATTGGTGGAAGAGTGGAAGGGAAGCCTCCTCCTCGAGGTGATGGTAGTAAGTTAGGAGAGAAACAATGAGGCGGTAAGAGTTGGGCACTAGTCGGCCGGGTACAAAGCCATAGTAGCGGAGGAGAAGAGAAAGATGAGTGAAGACGGGCACTCGGAACCTACGGCGTATTGACTAGTAGTGGATTCCCATAAAACTGTCCTCCAGGGGGTCAGTGACTAGTAGTGGATTCCCACAAAACTGTCTTCCAGGGGGTTAGTGACCAGTGGTTCACCTGGGTGGCGAGTGCTTGCCGCCACGCCGAGCAGGCGATGGGCATGGTTGTAGTCGATGGTGGAAAGGGTAGAACGACGGCTAACTGGCCACTCTAGCTCCTCAAAGAAACCTGGTTCCCTCTCAATGAAAGGGTCTACGGGTGCAACCAAGGAGGTTCTCGGCACATTCACTGGCTGGGAAGTAGTGGTCGGAGGGTTGGAAGAGATGCCTTGACGACCGGAAGACGAAAAAGTGGGGGTTGCTGAGGATGACATTGCAGAGAAATGAAGGAGAAGAGAGGGGCTACCTTGAAAGAAGCGAGGGGAAGATGGACGGAGATTGTTTGGAACTGACTCGAGGTTGAAAGGGAGATTGAATCCCAAATCACGCTTAGTAAAATCGTAGTTCAGACTTCGGTTGAAAATTGAATTTTTATTCACATATCACTTAGGCAATATCACATAACCAACATCAAATTTCTGAGCCTCACGAGCCACATAGGCCCACGAATTCCGAACCGGAGCAAGACCACATTAATAGATCCAAAGGGACCCCGCACAGTAGTCCGTAGCCACACAGGACAATGCGGTTGTACTAGGCAGTCCTACCTCTATGTGCTGCGGCATGGTACGGCACAGACTGACAGCGCTCGAGGAGCCTGCCACTCTGGCCTCCTCCTTCACAACGAGTCGGGAGAGGCAATGCCTCCGACCTTCATTGTTCTTCCTTCGACGCACCAACCTAAGACCACAAACACAGCCCAATAATTCTCAACATTAATATAGCATCAACGCCTCAACAAACAACATTATGGACATCAAACAACATACATTACATCCCACATGAGCAACTATATAAAATCTTAGGGAAAATATGATAAGTTTTAGGCTTCCATGGGGTAGACCTTGAGATTGCTAGCTCCTAGTAGGAATCCCTCCTCCTCCTTCTTCAACTATGGCCACTTCCTTCACCTCCTATCAACCCCCAAACAATAACATATAGAACAAACATCATACACACGCACATGTTCACATTATAAAATGAAATAAGGAAGGAAGGAAGAAGATGAAAGAGTGGAATGAATGAAGAAGAATGAGGAAGATGGAAATACTCACTATGTGTCTTATTCTTGGTGTAGTATCCTGGAGATTTTGTGAGGAGGACACATGGGAGGGATTGAAAACTTCAATATAATTGTGTTGTATTTATAGGCTCAAAACCCTATGTGATATTTTGGAGGGGGGCGAACGACTAAGGGAGGGTATTTGGGTCATTTTTGGTTTTTAAATTCAAGACTTAAATTTTGGGTGAGAAATTGGATCAAGTTTGGGTATAAATGTGATATAAATTTTTAAAAATGGGTTGGGTTCATTTTGAAACCGAATTTTGAGTCAAAACTAGTTTATCAGTTTCTCAAGTTCGTCTCAAATAGACTTTTGGGTCAAGATTTTGATAAATAAATATATACTTTAAATAAGGTTTTTAAAACCATAAATAATTGTTTAATTACTTTATATTAACTCATTTGAAATAAGGAATTTTAAAATAAAAATTATTTTGTACATTTGGTAAAACCATCGTAAGAATAAAATGATAGAAATAATTCTATCTTGAAATTTGATAAAATAGGAGTTTTAAAGAAAATATTTTGAGACGTCACAGAGACAACTTAAGGAACCTTTTGTGATACTCCTGAACAAATGATGATCCTTGTTTAAGGTTCAAAAACTCATCATATAGGTCGGGCTGCCTTGACGTGAGCTGGGTAGAAGCGCTCTCGCATCCTATCCTTGAAGATTTCCCATCCAAACTCGGGTTCCTGGCGGATCATGGGTCCTTTGTGAATCTACCAAAGGTCAGCCTCTTGCTGAAAGTAGAACGTAGCTATCTGAACATGGCGTTCCTCAAGACACTCCATGACCTGGTAGATCTTGTCAAATGCTCTTATCCAGTCTTCCAACACATCCGGATCCTCCTGTTCTGCGAAGGCTGGCGGGTGATGTCCTGACACCTGCCTAGCCACAGCTCGGTTACCATGGTGGTTGTTGTTGAACAACACATTGCCCAACGCTTGGGTGATCTGAGTCAACTGTTGGAGATTCTGTTCTAGTTGCTCATTTGCCGGTGTCCCTGGGGTCTCTGTGCGACATCTCGGTGGGCTATCTCGAGCTGCTACACAGCGAACACCTATTACTAACGCAAAACTTAGCGGGATGCACACCAAGAGGGTGCAACAGCTACAAGCATAACTTAAAGCAACATAGAGATAAAGCATAAACAAAGGGATGATAAACACACAATCTCACTGCGCGTCCTAGTTAACTCATAACTTAAACTTACTAATTAACTTAAATAAGCTAGTCATAATCTACTTATTACATCACCAAAAGGTTCACAGGCCCAAAGTCTAACAAAAGAGAGAATACTACTAGCAAGGGCATAGAGCTAAGCTCATCTAATGTGCTCTCAAACGGGGATCTATTCCATACCCGAAATGCATTTAAAATATTAGCGAAAGAATGCTAAGTAAAACTCCAATCCAACATGTAAAACTATATAATTAAGTATACATTTGATATTCAAGTAGATTTTGAGACTGACATATAGAATATATTTGAACGAACTAACTCAGTCATATGTTTTCAAAAGATATATACTCAATCAATAACGTTCAAGCCACAAGTAAAAGACTCACTCAATAGATTACACAAATTAGACTCAATTCAAGAAAGACAACGAGAAAGGTATTCGCCTCAACTTAGATACAATAGGTAACTCATGCGGTGTAACCAATTAACCAACGAAAGGATTCCGAGACTCACACTCAACAATAGGATATGGTGGTATATATACATAGCCAAAGGGATTATATATCAAATAGCCAAATGCAATAGTAATACAATATCCAACCTTTACACCAGTCTATCCGAAACACCAGTCCATCCGAACACAAGTCCAACCTTATCTACCAACGTGAACCCTAAGCTTCTTGCCACCGATACAAATGGAGTCGAAACCTTTAGCCACTGATACAAATGGAACCGAAGCTCATAGCCACCGATACAATAGTATAACAATTCATATCCAAGGAATTATATATATATATATATATATATATATATATATATATATATATATATATATATATATATATATATATATATATATATATATATATATATAACATGTATCACTCAATCCAATTCAATATCAAGGAGTTAGGATTTACGATAGAATAACAATCCATAATTGAGGCTAAGGAATACACAATGTACTCGAATAACTCTACATTGCACCAAATGGAAGATGCACTGGGCAGAATGCACACAGTGGTCGGTGGGTAGGAGTGACGGGTGTGAAGTGCCCGCCCCTCCCTACCGTGACACACATGGGGTTGATTGGAGGGCACTTTTGTAACACCCCGAATTTTACGCAATAAACAAAGACAATTAAGCTTAGAGATAGGGATTTAAACCAAACATTAAGTATTAAAAGTCGCGGAAGCTAACAGTTAAACGGGAAATGCTATGTCACATCTAACTAAATTATTATATGCACAAGCTAAGAGTCAATGTACTTAATACCAAAATTCAACATCAAAGTTCACAAGTCTAACGTTTAGGGCACACATGCCTCAAATTCTAGGCTAAGGGATAAGGAGAGCTACGCTAAACTACGTCTTCTTCTAGCGCGCTCGAACGAGAACTACTCTATACCTGTAAAACATAAGGGGTAGTACCCGTTAGCGAATAATGCTTAGTAACCCACTAATACGCGTTGAGTACGATATAGTATAGATATAAGAAAATCATTTGAGACTTGGAATACATAGATATAACTTAGCAACTCTAGGTTTAAAACAAGGAGTAGAGACAACATATAACTCATCATAGAACACTCTCAATCAACCGACCATCAACGATAAATCAAGAGATCAATACAATGGTAAGGACCACAGGATAATCAACAACATATGATCATCAATATCAATCAAAGGTAACATCATATCATGAAGGATAATATCAATACATGAAGGCAATACATGCTCATAAGCAAATGAAAGTCAAGGATCGCAATCAATGTCCGTTTCCAACCTTATTCCATGTTCCAACCTTTACATCGCTCCATCCTTATTTCAACTCCAACCTGTACCTCTAGGCCACCCTGTACAACCACCACCCTTATTCCTCCTGGAGCCATTGCTCCCCACCTGCTTTACCGCCTGCTTGCTGCCAGCTTTTTCATATTGATCATGATCATGATATATAATAACCCCTTTAATTGAGCTAAGCTCACCGCCAGCTTTCAATCATAAACACATAGTCATCGACATAGATACTTGAAGCTCAACAATAGCTCAATCAAGAAGAATCAATAGAGTACAACATTTGTACAAGCTTACAACAAAAGGTTAAATCGAAGGATTTCAAGAATAGACATGAAAGGCACATTTCAAGACAACAACACAATAACGATAGACCTCAATCCAAAGATTACAATGATTGGTGAATACAAGTTACCAATCTTCATTGAGAACGAATGAACAAGCACATACTAGTACCAACAACATCGTAACTAGCATGCAAATCAATAGGATGAACAGAACGGTTCAAACGAACATCAATGACTTCACATTAATCCCACGAAACACAAAGTTGGACCTTAATCATGATTCAAGACTCATAAATCCTATCATGGGGACATCGTTCAAGATGTACAAAACATCAAAGGAGACACACAATTGCACAACGATTCAACAAAACGGAGGCCAAAACATCACGTACCGGTGGGCGGAACGGTGGGGGGTCAACCACCCGCCACTCCTCCCACCTGTACCAGCAGGTGGAACCACGGGTGGCCAACCACCCGTAGCCCTCCCCGCTGCCACACATGACCCGTACCGGCGAGTGGCGGGTGGCACACCACCCGCCCATGTACCCGCTGGTACACATGAACAAAGAACAATTCCCCTTCGGGGGAAAATGCAAAGGAGTCCAAGTTCAAGTCCAAAACACCTCACAACTCATATACAACAACACAGGAACTTGAACATAAGAATAGCTCAAAGAATAGCATTTATGAACCCTAAATCACAAGCTCTAACATGCATAAACACAAGATTATGCACAAATTTACTCAAGAACATCATGAACATCAATAGATCATCAAGAAATTATCAATGGCAAGTATAAAATAGATTTTGTAGAACATGGGTTACCTCTTGAGCCTAAGAACACTCTTTCCAACTTGTACTCTTCCTCTTGGAGGTCTTCTTCTTCAAAATCTTCCCAAACACAACCAAACCCAAACTAAACAACAAAACTTAGATAAAGATAAGGAAAGACTAAGTAAAAACACTAGCCAAGCTTAGAACTTAAACTTTCCTAAGGGGGGTGGGTTTTAGTCTAGCTTGGGGAATAAGCTAAGCTTTTAGAGAGAAGGTAGAGAGAAATGTATTTCTTGCCTAATGTGGGAAATACAAGAGTGGTGGTGCTAGGGTAATATCTTGGAGGTCAAGTAAAAGTTGGAAAAGGCTAGAATAGCCTCCCTTGTTCTCAAAATGGTTAGGAAGACATCAAAGGCTAGGTATAAAGTATAAAACATAAAGTCTCTCCCATTGACTAGTGCAATTGACTAAGGAATTTAGTTAATTTAGATCCTCCAACTATTTTAGCAAAGAACTTAGGAAGGAATTTTTAAGGAAACCTTAGAATTAATTAGACAATTAATTCCGTTTAAATGATAATTTTCCGGGGTGTCACAACTTTCAACCTGCCAATCCCACCCGCAACAACCTTTGCGGGGTTGTCTCACGGATAGCAACAGTAGCTTTCATCAACAACTCAATAGCGAACCAATAACCAAATCATAGCAAAAAATCATCAAGAATACTCAAGAAACAAGGATAAAATACTTCCAACATAAGAAGGAATTCAAGAATGAAGATTATGACACAATAACAACACAAGAATACTTCCAAATCAAGACATAATAACTCAAGATTATCAACAATAACATACTCAATAGATTGAAGAATGTATTCATCTACATATTGGAATGAAAATAGCTTTATAGGACAACGAATTTTACCTCTTGGCTAGCCAAACAACTCTAGTCTACAAGAAAGATCACCCTAGCATCTCCTCTCCAACTTGGTCTTCTAAAACCCCAAAACCCCAATGTATAGTAGGAAAATATGAACACGCAATAAATTAAAGATCACGAAATATGAAGGGAAAATGCAAGATAAAATGATGACCTTACCTAATCTTGTAGGAAGATGAATAAAATATGGATCTTGGTAAGTTTCCTCTTGAGGAAGATGAAGATAAAATTCTAATAGTAGATGAAGGGGAATGGCGTGAGAAGAGAAGAGTGAGAGTGGAGTGGGGAGGAAGACAAGTCTAGGTTATTTAGATAGGGTGAATATAGTAGATATATGGATTGTATGTATTAGGTTCATTATTATACAAGTTGGGCCATTAATAATATATAACATAAGTAGATTAATAATACTAAGGTCCAAGAATAGTTTGGTCTTAGAAAATTGGGTATATAATATTAATTCTTAGGAATTTGGGCTCTTAATGAATTTATGTAAGTTAGGGATTTATTTATACTAGAAGAATTGTGCTAAATTATAAGGAATAAAGCCCTTACAAGAATAGTTACGGGATATAATTTTCGGAATGAAAAATACGGGGTGTCACACAATAGCCGTCTATTAAGCGACGTAGTATAACACAATACATTAGACGACGGTTATTTAAAAAAATCGATGTTTATTAAGTGATGTAGTATATCATTTATGTAGTAGTGATTAGGGACGAAATTTTGTAATTTTAGTATAACTCAGGGATGAAAAGTGCAACATCAATGGTAACTTAGGGACAAAAAGTGAACATGACAAACACTTAGGGACGAATCCTACAATTACCGTATAACTTAGGGATAAAAAGTTCAACGCCAATGATAACTTAGGGACGAAAAGTGAGCATGATCAACACTTACAGACGAATTCTACAATTACCCTATAACATAAGGACGAAAAGTGCAATTTTCCCATGTAGGGATAAATGTTACTTTTTGTAAGACTGAAAATCTTAAATCTCAAAGTGGTAAGAGGTCAAAAGCTAATGTTGAGATACCTCCAAATGAAAAGAGTCTATGGAAAAAGAAATCTATATTTTTTGATCTTCCATATTGGAAGACATTAAATGTGAGACATAGTATTGATGTGATGCATGTGGAAAAAAATGTGTGTGATAGCCTTGTTGGAACTCTTTTAGACATAAAAGGTAAGACTAAAGATGGACTCAATGCTAGATCAAACTGGATTGAAATGAGAAATATGCAAAACAATGGAGTTTCTTCGGTTGTAAATTCAATGCATTTCAGTAATTGAAAGATAAAAGTCATGTGATTGCAGAGTTGTCATATTATGGTGTGATTGAAAAAATATGGGATGTTGATTGTGTTTAGTTTAGAGTGTGGATGTTCTGATGTAGATGGGTAGATAGTAAACACGGTGTGAAAGCTGATCTGATGTGTTATGATTTACACTTGTAGATCTGAATAAGGAAGGTCACAAAAATGCGCAATTCATAATGGCATCCCAAGCAAAACAAGTATTTTATGTTACTGATCCTTGTGATAAAAAAATGGTCAGTTGTCCTTCACGGAAATAGACAAATTACTGGTGATGGGAATGAAGATGTTAGTTTTGATATTGAGAAAATACCCTATTTTCTTTAAGTTTATTGCCAATTATTGTAGATAATGAGATAGATGAAGTGCATACATCAAAGGAGGATCATCATGAAAGGATATGTGAGCATTTATTATTACTTGTAATGCTTTAACTTCTTCTTGTGTTTACTATATATAAATATTTATTTTTATATTTATTTATATTATTCTTATGTCATTTACTAATAATTTCTTTGCTAAATAGGCATATGAATTCATCAAATGATCCCGCTATTGATAGTACTACCACTTATACCAGTGCTAAGAAGAGGGGTGTAACACCCCCGATTTTACCAACCATTTAAAACATAAAATTCATAGGCAAGCAAACTAAACATCAATCAACAAAAGCGGAAGCTATAATAAACCGGGAAAGGTGTTATGCCACACCCATAGAAATATGGGTGCACAGGATAAATCTATCAAAATCATCAAAACGTAACATTAGTCTAGGCACACAGGCCACTAGTCTAGGCACACAGGCCAACAAAAGCAAAACGTCTATCCACAGGAACTACACTAACTAGTGTCCACATCTAGCGCGCTCGTCATCTACTCAAAACCTGTAAAACATAGGGATAACACCAGGTCAGCGAATAATGCTGGTAACCCATCAATACGCGTTGAATAACATATTATATAGATAGATATAATCAAAAGCGTTTTGGACTGAGGAATACAGTATATAGTCATTTGAAAGCCGGAAGAAGATCAACATCAAAGACTCATCACACTCTCAACAAAGATCGAGGATCATTAACCTCAATCAAGACAACAAAACCACAAACAACAAAGGAAATCACAACTCTAAATGCAACCTACCATTCACAAGGTAGAGTTCATCATAACCATGCCCAAAGGCAAGAAGTACAACAATCACATAATGACAATTCACATAATAGAACCAAATTCCAACCTTATGGCTACCCCCGACCTTATCACTAGTTCCAACCGTTACCTCCTAGTGCCACCCTGTACTTCTGAGTCCAACCTTATTCCGTCTGGGACTGTCGTTCCCCACCAATCAGAACCCAATTACCACCGATCTCATAGTACACGAGGGTACTATAAAGTAACAATATTACCACCGATCTCGTGAGCAAAACTCAATAATATACCACCAATATCAATCATAAGTACACCTAGTCATCATCATCATCAATAAGATTGAGGCTCATCAATAGCCCAATCACGTATCAACAAAGGGTACAACGATTTGTACAACATAACCTCATAAAAATCAATCAAGAGATTTCAACAAAGTCATGAGACAATACTCAACAACAAGGACTACAATCCAACATCAAAATGATTAGCAACACGAGTTACCAACCCCAACAAGAAGAAACAAACCACACATTCTAGCATAACAACATCAAACTAGCATGCTCATCAAACGAATAAACCGAAATGGTTCCAACGAACCTTCAAGACGCATATTAGTCTAATGAATCAAAAGGTTGGACCCTTAGCACGATTCAAGACACCAAATCCTAACATGGATTCCTAACACATCATTCTAGACATACGAAACATCAAGAAGACTCACAAATAGCTCAATAATTCAACAACGGGAGGTCAAAACATCAACACCAAGACGAAAGGAGTCACGGGGAACAAATCCCCGCATCAACAATAATTGTTCCCCGTGGGTGGGGCCACGGGTAGACCCCCACCCATGGGCCTGCCCGCGGGGTACATACCCTGATCCACTTCGTTCCCCGTGGGTGGGGCGGCGGGTAGGCCACTGCCCGTTGTTCTGCCCGCGGGGTACAATACCTGTACACCAATTTTCCCTTCGGGAAAATTCATCAACAAAGCCAAGTTCAAGTCCAAAATACCCAAAACCTCACACACAACAATGATATGACTTGAACCCAAGAAATAACCAAGCAATGGCATTCAATAAACCTAAATACAAGCTCTAAACATGCATTTATCACAAGGTCATGCATCAAATCTCACAAATCACATCAAGAACATCAAATAGAAGCCAATAATCATCATTTAGGTAAGAAAATAGGAATTGTATAGCATGGGTTACCTTTGTAGACCACAACTTCTTCCTTTACTCTCTCCTAAGCCTCTTCTTATTGCTCTTCTTCCCCACCAACTTCTTACACAAGCCAAAACACAAGAAAGATTCCAACTTAGATAAAGACACCCAAAAGATGACTAAAAACACTAAATAGCTAAGAATCTTACCCTTTCCTATGCTTGGGAAGAAGAAAGTAGGAATCTTGGAATGAAATCTTGCAAAGCTAGAATGTTATCCTTTTTTCTTGAAGAATAAGCTAGGTTCTTTTTAGAGAGATGGTGGACTGTTCGGGATTTAGGCTATCATGAGAGAATGAGAGGAATGACTTGCAAGGGATAGTTTGATCAACAATTCATGGGTGAAAGGTCACTTCTACCCTTACTAAGGTTGGAAAGACAAAAGGGTAAAGGTACAATACATAAAGCATAAGGTACACTTGGTTGACTTAAGTGACTAGTCAAATTCTAGTCCCTCGACTATTAAATTTCAGGATTTTAGGAAGAAATTACCAAGGAAGGCTAAAATTAATTCCTTAATTAATCCCAATTAGAATTTAGATTTACGGGGTGTCACAAGGGGTGCCACTCAAATGAAAAAAAAAATCATTTTAGAGCGTGCTAATACCAGGAAGAAGCAGGAGTTCAATTTGATGGATTGGATCCTATCAGAGAAAACAACATCAAATTCAAAAGTTATGTTGCATTGTTGGGACGAAGCAAAGTTTCTATCACAATAGGTTCATGGCATCACTTCCTAGTACAAACTAATGACTTCATTTGGGATGATATCTTGGTATGTAACTTATTTTTTTAATTTATATATTTAAAAAAATTAATATAATGGCATTTTTTACTAATAAATAATCTTGCCTTGTGGAGTGTTTATGATATTCCTAATACAGCTGAAATGAAGGACTCTTGGTTGAAATATGCGGGTCAACGGTGGAAAGACTTTAAAATAAGATTGAACAAAACATATATATTCACTATTGGCTCAAAGAAGAACCCGTGTGATAAATACCCATTCCTTGACCAAGAGACACGGGAAAAGTATGTTGATCTTTTCATAAAACTCCAAAATTTGAGGTATATATCATTATTTTTCTATCAATTATTAACTCAAATATATTAAATATATATTACTACTTTTTATTAAAATTATGTTTTCTTTTTATGTAGGCAACAAGAAAAAAAATCAAGAGATACAAGCTAAGAATATTCATCCACATAATTTTGCTCGAGGAGGCTATCAGAGATTGGAGAGGATTATGATGGATGAGAAGATGAAAGAACAACAAGAAGCTGCAAATTCAGATCCATCGTATACAATTTCTCCTCTATCCCCTCCACCTAGACATGAAAAGTGGAAGAGGGCAAGAATGGATAAATCCAGAAATATTTACAACGAAGCGGCTAGAATGGTCATGAAAAATTAAATAGTGTAAGTAATATGTTACTCCGTATAATTTTCTACATTAATAGTTATATATGTTGAATAAATTGAACAAAATATAATAGTAATCATTATTAAATATGTTTATATTCCTTTCAAAAAAATTAAATATTGTTTATATATGTTAGATTCTCTCGCGTTGCAAGCTTCTGAAGGAGAATTCATCAGTCGGGAAGACAAGATATATTGTATACTGCCCTAGGTATTAATGAGCATTCCATGCGCGTTAGAGCCATGGGAAGAGGACATGGCTTAAAAAGATTCTTTGGCCATGTAAAACATCGTCAAAGCCAAGCGACTATACCAGAAGTTAAACGAATGATTATTGTTGCAGTTGCTGAGGTGTTAGCCAATCAAAAAATGGAAGTGCAAGAGACGTTAGCCAAACAAAAAGAGGAATTTCAAGTAACCATGGCTGAGATGATGAAGCAATTTAGTAGTATGCAAACTCCTATTTCTCAAGCTGCAAAATCAAGGCGGGAAGATGACATATGTGTAAATGTTGACCCACAATTTCACAGTGAAAAAGCTAGTTCTCCAGACCTTTTTGCTTAT